CCCCCCCAATAACAATTACAAAAAGTCCAATAATAAATACGGGAGGAATTTAGTTTCAGGATGGCTGCATTCTTGGAGCTATGTAACAGAACTTGGAGATGTTATAAGTGATCTGAAAGTTCTTTTCAGCTGGCCACGTAATCTTTTGACTGTCCCAGAGTTATTACAAAAAAAAGGAGAGATCAAATTTTGGTGTAAGGCCAAATAAAATCTACAGTGTAAAAGCACTCTTGTAATCATTTAGATTTCTTCCATACCAAAAGGGCCCGAGTGGCAAGTTATAGGAGTTTTATTGTGCCTGCCCTGTAGTAGTGCAGAAAGAAGGGGTTGCAATATGCCCCTATAAAGGCTCATTGGAATTTAGAATAGAATAAATCACTGGGCAAAGATAGCATGCCATGTCTCCCCCATTAAATATAACTCGGGGTCCTATGGAAACTATATAATTATAAAAGGGGTAGTAGTGAGGCTACAGTTCTTTTTCCCCCTCCCCTGTCAGAGAACCAAGTATGATAGCATGTGGGTCTACTGAACCAAGCTAAGAGATTTTGAAGTTCAATTAGGTGACTGAAGGAATTGTACTGCAGTGCTCAAGAGTTCTTAGGGTCATTGCTAGATAAAAGAACAGGGAAAAATATTAGCTATCCTTTCCTTTGCTTTCTCTCTCCCAGTAGGCACAAACCACCATTGTGGATACTATCAGGTGGTAGAAGATTTCATATGCCTCAAAATTATCTGGCCAGATTTCTATATGGTAGGGGTGGGTGGTCATATGGAGTCCTTGAAGTTCTGTCACCACTTTTTACTGTCAAGTTATCAAGCCTCAGAACCATAATCTGCCAGTATCTTACGGGACATGCATAGTATCATGGCAAATGTTACACGCTTTACATGGTATTCTGATACATCTTCTGGACTGACTAATAACCGAGCCAGTAGAGGGCAGCATAATTCACAACTAATTGTTCTATGGACCAGAGTCGGTAGGAGTAAGTGAATGTCTTAATACTGACATTTAAGTTATACAAATAACTTCCCCAGTGAAAATGGGGGTGATACCATTTTTACTATCCTTACCATCTAGGGCTATTAGCTATTAGTGGGGGGGGGGGGAATGCAGGCATTTACCCGA